TACGAGACCGAGACTGGTCGCTTCCTGTCTGCTCTCTGTACAATCGTATGAAGTACAATTACGAGCGCGAGACAAAGACAGGCGACAGAGACAAAGCACAGGAGACCGCTCTCGGACCAGTAGTGTCTCGCGACGGGCTCAGGCAGCACGTGTGTTGTTGAGTAAAATAATGGCAGAAATTAAATTTACTGGTGACCAAGATGAGCAATTGGTAGAATTAGTAGCAGAAAACCGACCACTGACCACCGACAGAAAGATCCTTCTTCACGTCTGGTTTTGAATATTGAACTCATAGGTTTTCTTTGTTTCTTTCGCAACAAATAACACAGCAACACATCTTCTTCTTCTTATTCTTCGAGTAACCTTTTTAGAAGCATTTTTGTACTCATTTTTTTACAGAATATGTGCACGTATGTCTCAACAAAACAAAGAAAACAAACACTTTGCCGCATGTCTCGGTCGTCACATCAGAAGTGTGTGGCGACAAGCTGCGATGTGTCCGTCTCATTTCCATGCAGTTCCTTACGTATTAAAAGAATTCGAATAAAATTTTAACGACTGATTCCAGAACCTCGGTGTGCGGATCGTTCGGTATAAACTCCAGGGCAGCAACTTCGTCAGCTTAAAGTGTCATTGGTCTGATACCATGACGATCTGCTACATTCCAGCCTCCTTTTGCCAAGAACTTCCGAAAGATATTGTCGATTGTACGAGTCGACGTAATATTTCGATCTGGATATTTCACTGTACAGTTGCATTTCTTTCAACATTCGCCGTCAATGAAAATTAAGTCAAGTTCATTGTTTAATTAGTGTACATCATCAGTGATCCCTAAAAACTGCATTACGTACTCATTTAACTGAACGAACAAGTAACAACAACGTGTGTCTACAAATCGTAGTTCAGCGGAATAACAAAAATAAATAATGCCCTTCAAAGGCAGAAAAGAACGCCAATGGAGCGTTACTGCAAGCCGTCGTCCCGTATCAGAACCATCACACCTTTGCTCTCGGTCGATCATAAATCGTCGGTTCTTTGTTGCTGTTTACCGTCTTCTCCAGTTTACCAATAACAAAACACGACTCTTAATAAGAGAATATCGCCATGGGTAACATAGCTGAAGATAATCTCCACCTCCACAGCTTACGCGCCTCCCATTCGTCTAGATCAGTCGTATTCAACCTTTTTTGTTCGTGTACTCCGAGATATAATTTCTCTTCAACTTTGTACCCCCAAAGTTGTTGGTGTATAATTCAAGTTATACATAGTATATATAATCTACATCTAAAATAAATTAAATAAATTACATTACTGATTATTCAGTGTTTATCATAAAATAATTTTTTGACGTAAATACGTCTATATTGAAGGGTCATTCGGCAAAAAAGTGTAACGAAAAAGGGAAAGGAAAGAGTGTAACCTGGTTACCTAGGAAACGTCGTGTTTACTCGGCATTGTTGTTACCTATAAAACATTGCATTCATCTACCACAGACCCATTTAAGCGTAACTAATTCAAGTTAAATGAACAAAGTCTTAATCAAACTTATCTCAATTGTAAAGAATGTATAAAGGAAATATTTAGAATAAAGCCAAAATATAAAAGTCCTTTCCATATAGACGTATTTACGTCTAATTCTCCGG